TTGTGCATGATTCGTCTGCAAAGGCTAAAATCCAAAAGTTCCCCCAGAGGGAGGTTCTCCGCCCCTGACTGAAACGCCTCCATTAGACTCCTTTGTTTATTTCCGTACCATAATGACATCACTACAACACTTGCGCTTCTATTGGCTACTGTAGCTCTCCAACACATTGTAAGTAACAGAGCCGGCCAGCTAACCAATCAGAGCCGACTGGGCTCTGGTTTCAGACAGAGGGTGAAAAGAGGTGCTGCAGCACAGGCAGTATGAGAAAAATAAAGAGCTTTTTGAACATTAAAGCATGGAGACATGTCACAGTAGTAGTGCACAAAAGGCCCTGTAAACATAAGTACATTGTTCAGCCTCAACTTTTGTCTTGGGCGTACCAACTGAAGTGCAGATAAGACACTGACTACACAACCTAACACAAACACAATTCAAACAAACTACCTCTTTAAATAACCCTAGGAAAAAACTAAAGGATATATTTTGGTTTGGTTGGGAATTCCACAGCATCAGTTTTAAAATATGTATTGTTTAACTACCTGTTGCCATTGAAGTGGCTCACAGGAAGTGCCAGCACAAGGTATTTTCATCTCCAGGAGAGCTTTAGATGATTCCAGGCCTGGCTTTGTGCGATGCTGAGGGTGACAGGGGAGTGATGTGTTGGTAGCAGGCCTTGGACGACAGGATGTCCTGTTTGGCGGCTCAGCAGGGGCATCCTGCAGAGCCAAGACACATGCTACACTGCTAGTCCTTGAGAATACGCAGAGTTGATCAAATCTGACACTATGCTAGTTTAGTATTTCAACTTAATATGAATATGAAACGAGAGAAATGTGGGAATGTTTCTGTATAGTCTGCCTCTTTTACAGTAAACCACAAACACAATCCCACAACAATAAACCCGGATTTCCTTTTCTGGGCGGCTACAAACACATGCTATAACTATATTAAAGTATCAGATCTAAAAGCTTCTGTTATGCAAAACATTGTTCATTCTGCTGACGTCCCCCCCCCCCACAACTATTTAGCGTGACGATTTACAAGAATAACTGGAAGTGTGAAAACATAAAACAATGCAGATGTTTCCTCTCACTGAGGGCGTCAGGATTTGAGGAGTACTACAGGGACGTGAAGCCATATGAAGCTATTTTATATTATTGTTTCCATTCTACACATTTTAGGACCTACTGCCACCGGAACAGACTAGAGTCTCTTATCAGCAAGACGTTATCTCTGTAAGCTGAAGTGACAAAACAAAGCTAATAACAATCTCAGACCTAAATGTACGCAGAAACGTATTAACTGACTGAAACAAACAACAAAAGCCTCCTTCATGGACACCGACTATTGTTCTTAGAGACATAAAAAAAAACATTACATTTGAATTACGTCCTTAAATCTTTCCCTTTCCAATGTATTGTAAAGGTTTGACCGTAACTGAACTTCTTTGCATTCGTACGATATTCACTTGGAATCTATATGATCAAATGCATGGCTTGGACTGAATACTTTGTTGGAGTTATTGTTGGGCACAGCTGCCATCTTGTCCATGCCCCATCCAGGGTCACCGCTACTGCCCTTTAGCAAAATCTGTCAGGCCCTCTTTGACGCAGATCCGTTTCCTGTCAAAGTGATATTTGTATTGTTCCAAGGGTGCAGCTTCCAGAATCTCATCCCCCAGCCTTTTCCTGTTTCCTCTAAAAGAGGAAGTTCTGCTACGCTTCAGTTTTTTTTTGTGAGTGATTTTCCCCCTCCCGCATCTTTTCTGGGACAAATCTGGAACACAGACTGCATAACTTTGCTTGTGTCGGCCAAGTCTTGATTTCAAAGAATGAAAAGAGTTCCTTAAAAAGAGATACCCTCCCACTTCGGTCTCTCTTACACAAGCTTACAAACACACACACACACTGATCTTGCATCCTATATTCTAATGCGCCCCCTCTGAGCGATCAGCCTTGATGTTGAGCGGTCACCTGCGACCCCAAAGTGAAATGTTCCCATGGTGCCTCAGCACGTAGCCTCTTTGTTATCGGAGTGAAAATACTTCTTTGTATGCAGGGAGGGTCAGATCACACATTCACCCTCCATAGGCACTCAAATGAACACATACTCTTCAGCAGCAAGTGTATAAAAAGATTGAGTCATTTCTCATCATACATTTAAGGAGAGGAGCAGTCTTAGCTCTTTTCCATTTGAGTAAAGTTCTGGTTCATGGCCTCCAAAGCCCAGCCACCAAACCACACACAGAACACTGTGTCTTCGTGCAAGGGCATGCACTTAACTGTGTAAGTATGTGGTTGGATTCTGCACATGCTTAGAATGACAAATGAGTCCTTGCTGATCTCAGTTAAGCTGGGATTCAAGGCAGAGGAGGAGCGGCCCCACTGTCTTTAATACATGATGTCAGATACTGTGTCACTACTTCAAGCTTTTTTAAGGTTCACATCAGTTACCCCATCAAATGCAGGCACAACCCCCTCCAAACAAACTCAAGCACCCTTAAGAGTGGAACATGTAAAACAAACAAAAAAAGGACTCAATTTGACAGTTCAAAATTATTTGTAGCAGTTTGTAAACTCCTTCAAGAAATCTAGCACACAGTGAGGGTCTGAGGGTCATAATGTTGTTAGAGCAAGCAAGTTATTTTAAACTTCTGAATCATGAAAATGTTCCAATTCTGCAGTCTTGCCTGGCCAACACATTTTGGTGATGTCAATACATTTGAAATGTGAGGTTCAAAGTGATTTTCGTTAACTTGGAAACAGCAGTTGAGAAACAATTTTAAAAAAGGTGCAATTAGCAGCTTTTTATGTTTGAAAGAACATCACCAAATGGACCTTATTGTAAGATTGTTTGCTTGATCCTAAAACTGATTTTGGAGATTGCAAAAAATGCATGATCATGTTTTTTGGAGAACTGTTCAGACCTCATTATGAAATAAAAACATGTATTATGTTCAGGATGAACGCATTTCAAAGCTTGAACATGAAGTGCTGTTGTTTTCAGCCTCAAACAGGGAGATATATTGCTTTTCACTGCTGTGTACCACATTTAACATCTTGGCCTGTTGTTCTGACATTGCTCTTAAAAGTGCAGCTGTATTCTCTTCAAACTGGTTTAAAGCCATAGCGTGGATGAGAGTGACCAAATGTAATAGAAACGCACCATTCCCCTCATAGAGCAAGACACACAGATGTAGGAAAGGAAAAGCATGGTCTACTTCTTATCATGCAACAGTTTGGCTTTAACAAGCTGCAATTTGACAGATTTGATCTCCAAAGCTAAACATGAGCCTATATGAGCTCCAGCTAACATATCTGAAGTGGTGTTAAATCAAGCTAGGTGGAAACTGCAAAATGACCCTCCAGTTTTTATGATTGTTTCTTGTTTGCTAAGGCAGCAGAAGGCCATGGGGTTAAGAGGCCCCCCTCAAGATGCCTGCACTACAATGGGGACAGAAAAATGCTTCAAAATCAGATTCGTGAAGCGGTTTGAGCAGGATGGAGAGTGTTTGTGCAGGAGAGGGCTTTTATCAGCGGCAAACACTCACAGGAAGTCCGGTTTGGGATTGTCCATCCAATTCCTGCGTTCCACAGGAAGTTCTGCATAAAAAGCAACTGAAAAACGCCCGAAGACATTTCAGTTCTGTCCGCTGGACTCACAGGGAGCACCGGGACTCAAACCGCAAAGAGTTTTATTTGAAACCCACCACCGAGCCCGAGCTTTAAAAGAACTGGCAGCATGGAAGAGTCCAAAGATCCAGGACGGCGGCTCGTGCCCGTGGCCGCCGCTCAGCCTGCGCGCGCAAACTCACCTGATGACCCTCGACTACGAGGGTAAGATTTCTTTATTTAACCATTTTAAAGGCCGTGTTCCGGAGGTTTATACCAGACTGTCAAAATACTCTTTTAAAAGTCATGCATTAGTGGTTAAGTTGCATCTCGTAAAGTTAGAGCAAATGTCATGCTACTGCTTGGTAGCATCATTTAAAAAAGAAAAGAAAAAAAAAGTTAGTACAATTATTACAATTATTAGTAGATTCATATTTTTGCCTGTAAATAAACTAGGAGCCTGACTACCAAAAAGTACAATATTTCACTCTAAAACGACGAATAAACTAACAGGCTACAATGGAAATAATGAAGTAGGCCTACCTCAAAGTTGCACTTAAGTATATAGAATGACTTTTTTCTACTGAATTGAACTTGTAATGTGGATTCAAGAGCAGGAAAACAAAGTGTCTTTATAGAACAGGTCACACTGCCACTGTACTGTAGGAATACTGATGTACTGTTATACTACAGAGTTGGTTCTATGTGTTTATTATGTAGGCGCTATTGCAGTGTGTTGCACTATCAAGAGAACCATAACATGTATTGCAGATCCTTTCACTTTTGCTAAAAATCATACACATTAATATTTTCATAATTCCTAAAATATTAGGTTCATGGCCCGTAATGAGTTCATAATGCAAGTAATGGCCATGTAATCTAATCTAGAGTGTACAAGACATACAATATATGTTCTCTTTTTGGATTCATATTTATTTGTTAATCAGTCTAATATTTACTAAATGTATTTAAAAATGAGCTTCAAAGGAATCTTAATATTCTTTAAGATATTTCTTTCTTCACACATATAGGAAGGAATAACATTTAAAAGTAATTGTAATTATTTAATATCATATATATTCCCCATTCTTTAGGTACAGAAACAGTGCAGAAATAGTGATACTATTTTTTACCTTCAATAATAATTGCCTGTTGTTTGGCACAATATACAGTTCTCATTTATTTTCAAAATCAAAATGTAATACAATTATTGGCAACAATGAAACAGATGAATCATACTTTCTTTTTCAGTCATGCAACAAGTCCATTTTTAATAAAATAAATAAATATAGGATACGTTGTTATTTTTGGAAAGTAGTTTATGAATGAAAAGACTAATGTAGCCCATAATAACCATAGTGCAGTGACGTCACTTAACGGGTCCCCGCATTGCATGCAGTGAGCAGCGGGACCCCCAGCTGGAGGAGGGGAGGAGGGGCTACCATCACCCCCCACACGCTGCCTGACAGACAGTCTGAGCTCCGGGACTAACCTGACGGTAGTTCCATCCCCGCTCCCGTAGCTCCGCAGCGGAATACACCGGGAGTAACTTTGTTAAGAAGCGCGTCTCCACTTCCTGCTGTGGACTGAGCTCTGTGAGGGGTTCTGTTAGGGAAGCTTCACGGTGGGTGATTATTTGTATCCATGCTACTGTGCTTTATATTGGCTAGTATTGTGTTGTCAGTGCAGGGTTTACTTTGCGTTTATTTCTTTATAGGTGGAGTCACGCGTTTAATGCGTGTCACTGCGCGCGCGTGTGTGCGTGTGCGCGCGCGTGATTGTGTGTGAGAGAGAGTTACAGAGATGGAGATCTGAGAGGATGTAGCACACACAGATCTGTACAGCTGTAAACAGCGCCCTCTCATGGCGAGTGTAGGGAATGTGTCTGCTCAGTTTCTCCTAAAGCGTCAGAACAGTGGGCAGTTATTTTTCGAAATACATTTACTCTAACACTGTACACAAGTAAAACTGTGAGGTCATTCTACTCCTTTTCTTCTCAGAGGGAACTATTGATCGTTTTACTCCACTACATTTATTTTGGGATTTCAGTTACTTTACAGATTCAGATTATGAGCACAACATATTATTACTGATGCTGTATGAACATAGTTAACTACGCAGCACTATATTTATATAGTTATTCAAATGACCTCCACCTTTAACAGCTGCAACATGATCATCCACATATTCTGCATAGTGACTTGGTTTAATTATGCAACATAATAATAATATATTTAATTTCTATAGCGCTTTTCTTGAACCCAAAGACGCTTTACATTTGGGAGGGAGGGTAGACAAACAAAACTAAAACAAAGCCAAAACAAAACAGAAAAGCAGTCAGGAGGAAGTTGGTTGAGAGGGGGTGTAACATGAAGTACACTTTAATGTTGGATCTTTTAGCTTTTATTACCTAACAATTTGAATGCATGATTTGAACTTGTATCATAGTATTTCTGCACTGTAGTGGTTTATTATTTTGTACTTAAGCAACAGATCAGAGCATTTCTTCCATCAATGCCATTTGAAGATAGCATGACACAGATGCAAACATGTACTAAGCCTTGATCTCACACAGGTCCATCTGGATTACAAGCATTTGTTCTGTATGAAATCAAATTCCAGTACTAGGAATATGTCATGTGTTTAATGTAAGACTTCCTTCCATCTCCACCACTTCATCTTTGCAGAGTGGTTTTCATTATCCCTTGTGTAGGAACATTGGTAACATACTGTATGCACCCCATAAAGCACAAAGCATTTAAAATATTTAATATCCTTCCATGATTTCACAATAAAAGCTAATCGTATCTCTTATACCCGTAACCCTGGAGCAGCTTTCTCATCGTCAACATAATACTGATGCTTTTATTGCCACACGTGCTCGTGTTGTCTTCAAAGTGGCCTCCTGAGAGTCCCCCCCGCTGCTCTGATTTGTGAATGAACGCAGCCTGGGATCACAGAGACATGCAAGCAGTCAACCAAAGCTTAACATCGCCCCCAGGACAACTGAGGGTCCTCCTGCCGGCTGCGGCCCCCGATAACCTGCCATCCCACCCGGCTGGCTTCAGTGCCCTGTTAGAGATTTCCCATGAGTTTTTCAAATCTGGCGTGTTAATGTGTGCCTGTAGGAGGGCGTTGGTTCTAGCTGTCTCTGGAAGCGTTCCCTTTCTTTAATCCTGTACAGTATGTAGCCAATTCATTTGAAAAAGGTGTGAAGGGATAAGTGAGCGTTTGTGTGAAGGGAGAGTTCTCTGTCCTTGTGTTGTAATCCAAGAATCCATGCAGATCAGAGAGTTTTACCCGCTCTATCCACAACAAATCCGGACTGTATCTACTATATGTGGGACCAAGTCATTGATTATTAAGTCCCCAAGTCCTAAACATTGATATTAGAGAAAAAAGTAACTGCAGTGTGCACTTTGTGTGGTTTTTAGGACTTGGGGTTTGACTTAGGTCTTGAGTGCAATGACTTGTGACTGTGACTGGCACACAATGACAATAATGGTCCCGCCTCGGCAAGGATCTATCGAGACATCTACAAGTTAGTTGGAGTCCAATAAGTCACAACAAAGCTTCCTGTGCTGTAGGGAGCGTTGGATAGTCGAAGGTCTATGCACATCAAAATGTACAGAGATGGCAAACGAGCCCTTAACTTCAAAATGATATATTTTTTCTTTAAACAGCTCTAAAGATGTCCAATTCGAAACAAGTGCATCTGGCATATTCGGCAGTTACATTAAATTAAGTTTCGCAATGTTACCAAACTTTACAGACCTAATCAAAAATGCAGTCAGGCAATCGTGGACAATTTAAGAACAAAACTTCTTAAAAAATGTATCTGGGTTGATGAAAGTAACTTATTTTTTAAATCCCGATAACATAATATGTGTTGAGTTGGTGTATGATTATCTCCATTTCCCTCTCTTTGCAGATAGCTGGAGTCGCCGTGGAGGAAAACGTACACAATCACAGTGAGGAGACTTTGGCTAGGACCCTCCTCCTCCCTTCCTCTCCCCTCCGCCTGGCACAGAGAAGAGTGTGAGAGACGGAGCGAGGGAACGTGGGAAAGAGGAAGACGATGTACCAAACGCTGCTCCTCTCCTCCTCCCTCTTCATCCTCCATGTGATGGGCACTCCACAGTACTACGCTCACCACGGGTAACAGCACTTAATACTCTTCCTGTGTTTATTATGGGCTGTCATCTGACCGGCGTGCCTGTTACAGAGCAGATCTCCACTTCAGACCTGTTTGTTTTAGCAACATTCTCACCCAACGCCAATATATACAGATTGGTGAAATGACATTTAAACGTTTTCAGAGCGAACTCTCTCAGGAGCAGAGCTATTAGACGCACGGCATTATGGGGGAGTCTCCAGGCTCATCTTGTCATTTTCACTTGATTTGCACAAAGACCAAAATAAACCAAAAGGTCAAGAGGAGCCAAAGAGGTCGAAGGTCAACTCTTTTCTCTGACACATTGAGTGAGTGATTACACGGGTCAGTCAGAAGCAATTAGGCGCCACGCCAACTTCTGGTGACAAACTGAGGAGTTTCACAGCTTTCTGAATCAGACAGAAACTTCTCATCTAAAACCAGCTCTTTGGAGCCTGAAGTCTCCCTTTCAAGTTTTACAAATATTTCATCTTTCCCTTTTTCTCAGGAGGAGGGCATGCGGGCGAGACCTCCATCACAGCGCTGCCATGGCAACAGAGTCGTACATCGCGGCGGTGCATAATCCCTACATCACCCTGTGTCAGGGGCATCGCCTCTGCAGCACCTACAAGTGAGACAACCTTTATTACAATCTGACATTTTCATCCTTTCCTGGGGAGAGTTTCACTTTGTCACTTATTTAGTTTGAATGTGTAGTCCTTTGTCAAATCACCTAATAAGTTATTCTCAAATGTAGTCATTCTGTTTCTTAGTTGATTGAGTCCGGGCATTTTTAGTCTTATCTTAAATTAAACAGCAAGTGTAGTTTTAGTCAATACAACTGTTGGCATTTTAAACATTTGTAGTCAGATAATTATATAAAACAGTAAATAAAATTAGCCCAAATAATAATTGATCATTTTTGAGTCTACTCATTACTCAAGAAAACTGTTGCACTGAGAAAAAGTCTATGATATTTCTTCTCTTATTTCAAAGAAAATAAAGAGCGATTATAGTCAAGTGTATATGTATTAAAGTACACTTTAGTCTAGTACTTCTTTGTGTGTTGATATAGTCAGTGATCTTTTCATTACATTGGAAACCAGTCAGTAGACAGGACCTGAGTCCAAACAGCGTTGTAATGAAGCCTTCTCAGGATGTATCTAATAGAGACGTAAACAATGCTTGACATGTTGAGGAAGAGGAAGGGTTAGACATGCAGTCATAAATAGATGCAGACTTTCTCCCACAAACACAAATACATGTTTTCCACAGAACTGGGTCATGGTGGCACATATTTGGGTGGAATCTAAATATCGAGTGCTTTGTGTAACTACGGGAAATGAACTGCCTGCCGGACCGCAGAGACCGCGGCCGTGTTTATTTTGGACTCCCTCCATTCCTACACACTCTCAATCTCTCTCTAGCTTTCTCCCCCTTACATACCCTACATTTGAATAATTTCTTTTTAACTCTTCTCTCATCATGAAAGCATTCTTTTAGTCATTCTTTTTGCAAATAATGTTGGCTTGTCTCAGACAGTTACAGGATTACTTATCTTAAAGTGATTCTCCCTACAAAATCAAAACCTCGAGTCTGTCAGACATGAGTAAGGGATAAAGAAAAGATGGAATACCGGATCTAATTTCCTAGATGTTTTGGGTTGGATTGCAAGGGAATATACTAGGTGGTGAATTGAGGGAAGAGCTAAAAAACACACAAAGTAAAAATGACAAGAGAAGATCAAACTTAAAAATGTAAAGCAGCGTGCGTGAGGTGCCTCTTGTTGGAGACATTTGCTCTAGAGATGTCTCTTGTCTCCTTCTATTGAATACAATAAACTAGATGGCACTCAACTCATGTTGCAAAAAGTGGCAAGAAATCCAGAACTGAAGAACTGGTTACTCAAGATAATCCGTACACAAAACTGAGCTAAAGGAAGAAGCATTGATCTACATTCACAAAAAGACAAGAAGCTCTTGATAAGGCCCAAGATGTAAACATTATTGTCAACCTTCGTTTACAAATGTTTTTTTGGGCGAGCCAGGGGCCATTTTGTTCCATTATATTGTGAACAATGAAGACACACCAAACCAAGGTTAAAAGGAAAATCTGTCTTGTTGATTTTAGGGGGAACTGTCCCTTTCTAAACAGTCTCTTGTTTATAACTTTGTACCTCAGAGTCTCAAGGATTTGACTCTGCATCTTGTCTCCTGCTTCCTCCCCCCTCCCTCCCTATCTCCTTTCTGACACACTCCTGGAAGTCAGTGGTCCGTGGTTTCAGTGTGCCACCAAATTCCCGCTCTCTCCTCAGCATTTTTTCAGTCTGACAGAGGATGGAAAAGGCCACCCACACGATGACCACAGCAGCATTATGAATATCCAGTAAATCCCTAACTGTGTTTTGTCTCCACAGGACGGTGTACTCGGTGGCGTACCGGCAGGTGAGCAGAGCAGCCCCTTCCTCAGGTTTCTACTCAGAGTGCTGCCCGGGCTGGAGGAGGTTTCACTCTCACGACTGCAACCAAGGTAACAGGGAGCGACGTGTGATTGGTTCATCTGTCAGTCTGTACCTGCATCACCTGCTGCATCTGTGGAGTGGAACAGCTTTTAACATGTTACAGGAAGCATGCATATTCACTATCTTGCCAAAATGTACTCACATGCTTGTACTCTAAATATGAAGCTACAGCTAAGTGGTGTTTAGCCTAGCTTAGCATACATTCTAGAAGCAGGGGGAAACAGCTGGCCTAATTCTGTTTAAAAGGTTAAAGAAAGAATACAAAAGTCTATTAAGATTACTTTTTGTGTTTTTAAAGGAACACTTCACTCCCAAAATGATCATTTACAGATTCAATCATTCTTAATTAACCCGGCTTACATAAGTCAATATCTTAAAAGAGTTGAGAGACCCACAAACTAAAAGAGATACTTAGGGGTGTATTATAACTTCAAGGGGGGGCTTCTGTACTTGCATGGTTATTATTTGTCCAGGTACAACGATGCAACCAGATGAAACTGCCTCTAGCCAAGAAATATTACAGCATGTAACTAAAGATAAATGTCTCCTGGCTGTGGCTTCATGTCTAGCATCTTCATATTCGATTTTCTCTCAGAAATGAAATAAGCCTATTTCCTCGAATCCTGAATCACTGTAAATGTATTTTGCAGCTGTGTGTGGAACCCCCTGTGAGAACGGAGGTACCTGCTTAAGACCCAACCAGTGTGCCTGTCCGCTCGGCTGGACGGGACACCAATGCCAAACAGGTACGTACGTACACACACACACACACACACACACACACACACACACACACATATACACACACACACACACACACACACACACACACACACACACACACACACACACACACACACACACACACACACACACACACACACACACACACACACACACACACACACACACACACACACACACACACACACACACACACACACACCTGGCCGACCACACAAGTCACCCATATCTCTGTGTTTCTTGTCAGATGTGGACGAGTGTAGCGAGCAGCATCCTTGCACTCAGGAGTGTGTGAACACAGCTGGCAGCTATCGGTGTGTGTGCAGAGACGGCTTCAGACTTACAGGAGATGGCCATTTCTGTCAAAGCCTTCCTCCCCCCCCTCCTCCACCTCCTCCTCCCACCACCCAGGCAACAGTGGGTGGTCACACCGATGCGGGTAAATGAGCATCACAGGAGTGTGTGCGTTCACTCACACATGGTGCCATTTTTTTTCACAGGAGCACAGAAGAAGAGAAACATAGCCAGCCTCGCGGTCCATTATTACTTTTGGTACGCGCTATGCCACTCTCAACTCGTACCGTGAGTAATAATGCACTGCGACTGGTGCCGACTGCAGACAGATGTCTTGTGGGGGGGCCCTGTGGGGGGCCCCGTGAGGCCACACCGGGACCACTTCTTTGATAATGACTCAGTTGTACTCCTAATAGTCCTGCGAGTACAGCACACATCTGACTCTAATAGAGCTCCCATGCTAATACAGACATATTTCCATCCCCACACACTACATTAGTTTTCTTAAAATGTTGCAATGTTGCCTTTAACCACGGTTTTAGTTTGTGTGTGCTTCCTGTTTCTTAGCAACCAAGTCTTTAAAAGTAGTAGTTGACCCCATGACATTCCTTTTCATTCCTGTTCTGTGTCAGCGTTATTGCTCCAATGCCTTTATTGGGAAGATTTATGCAACATGAAACCTTAAAGAAGACTTTCCTTTTCCCCGAAATCTCCCCAATCTTTATCCCCCTTTAGGGATTATTTACGAGTCACTAAACTGTAAATCCAAAGGGGAAACTGTCTCATGTGTTACAGGATGAAATGTTTCTCGTGTTAATGTGAGATAGGCAAACTTTCTTTGGCTTTGCTCCAAACTCCCTCCGATCTATCAGCGTTTCTGTTGAGAGAATTGTCACTCAAAGTGGGATTCCTCAGCTAACACGAGACTGTTAATCCCAGGACAAAAAATCCTGTGAGTATCGGCAGGTCAGCAAAATAAAAAGAGCTGGTGTTGAAAAGCCAAATATGACAGATCTTTATAGTCTTTGAAAGTGACGAATGGGTTATTTGTCTCAGTTTCACAGCTAATCTTCTGGGATGCAATAAGGCGAGGAAAGATGTTCTGGAGACTGCATCCCAATATATTTGTTCACGCAGGGATGTTTATGGAGATCACAAACATCAACACAGTTTGAAATGCTCAAAAAGTACTCCATAGCTCTGACTCTGCCAAGCCGCTGTGGAGGAGTGTTGGACTGCGATTGTGTCTCTCCATCTTCCTCCTTTCTCTTGGCCAACACTTCTATTCTCATTCCAGCTCCATCAGCCCTGTCTGCTGGGGGTCACCGCCGACTCCCCCCCTTTCCCTCCTCCTCCTCCTCACCCTGTTTCTGAACTCATTCCTGTCTCGGTAATGGACTACATCTGGGAGAGATTGAGCCGCTCGAGCTCCGTCTGCTAAAGCCCAGCTCAGAAAGCAGGGGGCCCCTAATGTTGCCTCCCGATCTGCATCCCACCTTCTCCAGGGACAGTCCCCTCGAGTCCAGCCGGGCAGACACTCTCCCAATGCATGTTCACACGGGGGATGATTGACCGCTCTTTCGGCTTGTGTATCGGCTTTTTTTCAGCCGTTCCCATGTCCGTGATTCCCTGCTGTGCCCTAAAATCTGTGGCCCTCAGCCTGGTTTCTAGGTCAGAGACGTTGCAGTGGTATATCATTCGAGGAGAGGGATTGATGGGGGCAGGATTCTCTGAGACACTTTTCTTAGATATAAACTTTTGGTACGAAAATTCAAACTCGGCTGTCAGCCTCCCCTGATGCAGAACTGCAACGATTTTCATGACTGATTCATCTGCCGATTAATCCTCAATCGTTTGGTCTCAAACATTTCTGAAAACAGGGTAAAATGTCCATACTAGTTTCTCAAAGTCCAATGTGGCTTTTAATGTCTTGTTCTGAGTCCAAAATGTCTATCCTAAGGCATTCAATAGTTTCTGACTGTGGGAAAGAGGTTTAAAAAGAAAAATTCCCCAAACTACTAACAATGCAACCTTCTTTTGACAATTATTGTGATTCCCCAAATTATCTTTTCACTGCTCCTCACTAACTGATGGCAGCTTTTTCTGATGTTCATGTTTGTCTGTTTTCAGGTGGAGGGATCAGCCAGATGGAGAATGTGACGGAGGAGGTACAGAGCCTGAGGGACAGAGTCGAGCTCCTCGAAAAGGTATAAAAAAACACACATGTTAAAACGCACATGAATAAAAGCCACCTACCCTGATACCTCCAGCCTCGCTCACCAGGAACACCTCTGCTCCGTGTATGATATAAAATCTGAGCTGTTATTTAATCACCTAAAAAAGATTCTTTAAAATGCCAGACTTACACAACGAGATTTTTTTTAGGGGTTTTAATAGAACCCTGCTTCTGTTTAGTGAAATAACTAAATGCAGATTAGCTGTTCTGGTATAATCACGCTGTAGGTCGAAATATTTTTTTGTTTACGAGGTGAGTAATAGCACTTTTCTGGGGCTGTTTTCTTTATCACCTCATTCCCTCTCCTCGGTGCAGAAGCTGCAGATGGTGTTGGCTCCGTTCAGCAGCTTCTTCCCGCCGTCGCTGGACGATGGCTGGTCCGAGAAAACCACGTTACTGTCCCACTCCTTCCAGCAGCTCGACCGCATCGACTCCCTCAGCGAGCAGATCGGCTTCCTGGAGGAGCGCATCGGAACATGTGAGTGACCACGATTGACCTTTCATCGCTCAGAGGTCAAGAGGAGGGAAAATCCAACGTTTAGTTTAAAGGGGCCCAATTATGCTTCTGCGGTTTTCCCTAGGACTCCCTCGTTTATTTCCGTAACATAGTGACATCACTATGTAACACTTGAGCTTCTGTTGGCTAGCGCTCCAACACATTGTACATGATAGGTTAATGGGCGGGACACCTCTAAGCGGTTGCCCAATCACAACAGAGCCGGCCAGCTAACCAATCAGATCAGACTTGGCTCTGGTTTCAGACAGAGGGTGAAAAGAGGTGCTTCCGCAGTATGAGGAAGATAATATCACAGTAGAGACACACAAATATGAGCCTGAAAATGAGCAGAATATGGCCCCTTCAACACCACTGTTGCTTTGAGTCCGAAAAAACGTTTTTTTTTTTTACTTACTAAAAAAGATTGTGTAAAAGCCAAGAAGTAACAATTTATTCATTATTTAATCAAATAAAATGTATTTATAGAAATTGAATAACATAATAAAATCTTGTGCCAGTAATACAATAACCGTTTTGGCTAAGAAAGTTAAGTGACATTCTCAAATCTAATTTTACCTTCAGGAGCTTTAATGGCCAATTCATTGTAGTAACTGTTTTCTTTTTCCTTGTAGGTTCTTGCCAGGAGAATTAGCCAAACATTTCCAGACATCTCCAATGAAGTTAATAATGACACAAACCTGCCAGAGAATGTACAAACAATGATGGCCGAGAGCAAGTTCGCAAGAGAGGTGACGGCATGAAGCAGAAACGCACAATAATCATCACCTGTGATTTTCACTATTCCCAACAGTTTCATTTACTTTTCTTGTTGAATCCCTGTAACATCTGAATGAAACCCACTGAGGGTCAAAGGTCAAATTGGCCACTTTGTTTCTGTTTGTTTTTGCATCAGTGCAGCTGTGTCCTCTGTCAGAAGTGGACATCTGTATTTATCTATTTAAATTATGATTAAGTTTAGTTATTTCTCTGCGTTCCAATAGACATTTCTACCTAGTTTTGTAACATTTTGTAATAAAAATTCTTAATCAAAAACGGTGCAGTGTGTGCTCACTGAGAGGATTACTGAACAATGTTTGCAAATACAAATACACTCCTGATATTAGATCCAACATGAATCTAACACAACAGAGGAGGTCTCCTGTTGGTCTCTCGTGTATACAGTACTTTATTCAGTGTGGCGGAAGTATTCAGGTGCTTGACTTTAGTAAAAGTATGTATACAACAATGTGATGGTACTTTATTACAAGTAACAGCCCAGTAATTCAGTAAATATAATGGTCAAAATATAGTTTAACTATCAGAAATACTTTTCCAAGTGTTTAAAAACTGAATTTGTTAAATTAAGGGATTATCTTTTGGTGTTTTCTGTTGTAATAAGCAGTGGTGGGAAGTAAATACATTTACTCAAGTACTGTACTTAAGCACCATTTTGAATTACTTGTACTTTACTTAAAGGTAGGGTAGGTAATTCACTTCAGAAACACTTTTTGTTATATTCCATGGAATGCTCTTGACATCCCGATAGCAATGAATACATTAAATGCTTTGACAATAAATATTTATTACAAACATTTCATCTGTGGAAGCCGTGGCGCTGTACAAAGCTAGTCCAGTTATCTGCCTCGGCCCGCGGCAGATAACTTGATGGCCTACCTGCCTGTCAGCCTTCCATCTCATGCACACATTTATCTCGTGCCCTCATTGGTCATGTGCGTGTTCGTGTGTGTTGGAGGAGGGGCTCTGTAAGGAAGTCTGAAGGAAGGGGCAGATTCTTTTCGGTTGTGTACTTTCAAATTCTAGCTTACGCGAGCTGGTTTCTCCATTCTTACCTACATTACCTTTAAGTATTTACAAAAAAACATTGTGATATCACTAAGAGACCAACATTTGGTCATTTTCAGACAGGTTTTTAAAATAAATGGATCAGGACAAAAAGAGAGAATCTTTTTTCATGAAACTTTCAGAGTCTCTTTACACCATTTATGTATAAAATACATTAAAAAGTGGATTTTGCATAATAGGTGACCTTTAAAGATAAAATAGCAGAAAATGAAAGTACTCAAGTACCTCTAAAATGTACTTAAGTGCAGCGAGAGTTAGGGTTGCAAAATTCGGGGAATTTTCAAAGATGGAAACTTTCCACGGGAATAAACTGGGAATAAACTGGGAATTTTCTAAATCGAAGGTTGGCTCTTCATAGGGAACTAAATATAGTTGGGGGAAGTATATTTTAGCATAATCTTGACTAAAACAAACAGATGCCATTCAAGTACACTTGAATATCCATGCCATAGCACACTGAAAAACTGGTTGGCATTCGGGCAAACCTAAGGCTCTTTGTGCCTGACACAGAGCCATCCTCAACCAGGCTGGACAGTGACACTGAAGAGGAAGAGTTGGATGTTGATGAAGCCCAGGAAATGACATGTTGAAATGTCATGTTTTTGTGTTTAATTTTGCATCGAATATTTCCAAAATTCCCCAGCTTAAATTCCCATTGAAACTTTCCGGAAATTTCCCGGAAACTTTCCGCCCCTTTCCAACCCTAGTGAGAGTACACCGACTATACTCTAAATCTGAGGAAGGTAAAGCATTTCAGTGCACCACTTAAGAAAAAAAGAATTGATTTTATTGATTCTTTTGCAAGGCATTCACGTTTACCCAGAATAAGTGAACGCAAGAACACTTTATAATGAATATTAACCACATATTATAATGGACGTCTATACCATCATGTGTGCATAATAACACACACATACATATAGTAAGGGACCACACACACACACACCTCTGCAGGATGTCAGCTGTTTCTCATATCCATCTAAAGCAACAACCAATTACACTTTGAATAGCTTTGGTGAAAATCAGAGAAAACTTGAAATTCCTTTTTTGTTTTTCCACCCAAACTCAGCATGAAAAGTGCTTTATTAAGGTTCAGAACACTTTGAATATATGTTATCTTACAGTATCTGTGTTCGTAAACAACTGCCCAACATTTCAACCAGCAGAGAAACTCACAAATTCAAGCTTATGACACAATGCTTAGAAATCACACATCTGTATTACAAAATAACAAATAAATGAACATGAAATAAATGGATAAAACACTCTGTTAGCTAATGTGTATGGTATAGTTCATATTTTGGAAGAAATCCATTTTGGTAGAGTACTTTATAACATTCAAACCACTTGCTGCAACGGTAAAAACAGCAGATAAAAGTCAATAAATATGTTTAAACTAAGAAAACAAATCAATTAGTATTAATAGGGGGGATATATACTATACTGGCTTGAAATGAAATGAAACCCTTAGTCATGTGTACTTAAAGCCGAGCACAGCAGGTATGTTGCTCTCACCTATGTACAGGCTTAGTAACAAAGGTTGATACATTTAGACTGCACACAATCTTACTGCAGAGATTCTCTTGTGAATGGATTTAACATTAAATGGTCAAATAATATCAAATAAATGTCATTAGATGTGACGCCCACTGCAGAGGATTAGGGCCATGTGAATTTTCTTTGGAGATCTGACCAAAAGTGGATTTTTTCTGAGAAAAAAAGTCAGAATTCTGAGACAAAAGCCAAGGTTCTGATAAGCTCAAAAAAGTCCGAATTCTGAGATAAAGCCAGGATTCCGACAAGCTAAAAAAGTCCGAATTTTTCATTTTTTTCTCAGAATTCTGAGATTTAAAATTGTTTTAATATTTTGAGTTCTGAGAAAAAAAAGACTGAGAACTCAAGTAAGACATTTTTTGTTGTTATCAGATCTCAAGAAATGTTTCACATTCACCATGTTGATACTTAGAAAATAGGTCAAACATTAAAATACAGTTATCAATTTTCCTGAATGCTGAAATACATTCTCAGATGGGGTTTGATGGCCAAATGATTCAGGAAACTGTGTAAAGGCAGTGAGCAAAGTCAAATGTAAGACCTGGATGTAAACTAAAACAGTTTAGTCGGTTCTATGCGGTAGCGGTCATTGTCATTACATAATATAAACATCATTTGAGCATACATACATTGAGCCCAACAATCCACAGGGTGCAACAAGTAAAAACAAACTTAAGGCCAACATTTCAACAGCTTTTAAAATAATCTACTATTCTTCTACGAGGTTCAGTAATAACTGAATCGGAACATCACACCTAAACCAAGGTTATCACCTTCATATGGATGAAATCAAAACAAATATGGGGACAAACCTTAAAAGGAATACTTTACCTACAAAATGACCATTTCCATGTAAAGGACCCCGTGTAACCTTTAATTATAGAAGAAAACACAGGTTGGACTCGCAGAGCGCATGTGAGAAACTGTATTTCAAATTGTAAGCTTTAAAAAAAGAAGCACGTGTTTGGGAAGTATTGAAAATAAAAATGGATTTTGTTTAGCGTGTATGAAGGTGAAAAAACCCAACGTTTTCTTTAAGAATTTGAAGTGAGTCATTCGTCATTTTGTGGCTAAAGTTGAATCCATTCTGTGATGTGGAACTACGTATGCCAGGTTTATTAGTAATTAGTGAATCTTCAAGTTAGAACAAATAAAATCAGACAAAGTAAAAAAAGAAGCTTGAGATCTAAAATCATTTCACGATTCTTCACAAGTTTGACCCTTTCCCTCCAACAAGAGCTACCTTGCATCATTGGAAGTCATATCATTGGAAAGTGAAATCAGTCCGGAGGACCGATTATTCAGTCATGTTAAGATAACAATGGTTTAACTTTGGAAACTTTCCAATAACACTTGTCATGGCACAGCCGGCAGCTTGCACTTTGGAGCAGTAATGCTATACATCGTTGGACATTGCACAATTTGAAATCCCCTTTTTGACACATCTTAAAATAGGTTCACTTGTGAGTTCCTTTCCGAGCAGCAAAAGTCACTTCTAAAAAAAATTTAAAATAGAAAAAAAGACAAAGCAAGATTATCCCATTTAGAAATAAATAAAAATAGCAAAAATACAGCGAGACAAAAAACACTTGTTGCTCGACGCTGCACCTGGTTATTTCTAATCTTTTGGAGAGAAAATGCACAATGACACACCCACAATGCACAACATTGAAACTGATCAGTCCACTAGAGTCCAGTAACTCAGTACAGATGGGTGCTATTGTTACACACTCTATCTTGAATTCCCGGCTTCCTGACATCATGAAGTATGTCCTGGAGTTTATCGGTCAGTGAATTTAACAGCCAATGTGGATTATAGAGTTGAATTCATAGCGACAGAACTTAAGAAGTGTGCAGCCGCCCGGCGTTGACCTCTCACCTGGGCACACTCCACCAGGGCAGGAGACCCCGCTCCTTATGTCTTTAGGCAAGAGACTGGAATGCAGATAACAGGGGGGGGACGACGACACACACACACACTAAAAGGAGATGAAGTCCTTTTGAATTAGTGTGTGAAAGAGGGTAACTCAAATAAATGCAATGTGAGAAGAACAAGTGGGTTTCACTGAACATAAAGAGGCCAAGGATTATCTGCTGAACAGAAGAAGGTAAGTGGAGAAAAAAGGCCAAAAAATTCAAAGTACAAAATGGTGATAAAATAAGACGTTAAAATAATTAAAGCCAGAGAGAAAGCACGGATGGAGGTGGACAGAGCCATCCAAAAGGCATGCACGAAGAACAACATACATCTGTACTGTCGCCCAGCCGTCCGTCACTCCACTCGCGGTGCAGCGCGGCTGCTGATTCGCTGAGGGTCGGGACCCACTGTGCTGAGTTCAGGCCGTCCACCAGACAAGAGGAGATTTCACAACTGTGTCATCTCCTGGCCAGGTGAAGGGACGACCTGGGGGGGAGAGGGGGGAAAGTCTGGGGGGAGGGATGGGCTTTAGAGGGGACAGAGGAGGAGGAAGTGTGGTAAATGTTCAGTGCTTGCACGGCCCGTTGCTATGGGGTACGGAGTTAGAGATGCTGAGGAAGGAGGAGTTCATCAGGTCGAAGGATTTGTCGATGAGGGAGGGGATGTCGTCTGACGTCAGCCCCTTCGTCTCGATCTTTGGGAGGATCTTGATTCTGATGGTGCCTGCAGGACAGAACACTGTCAGGAGTCACATCAAGGAGCTGAGAGGGCATCTCAACTGATGCTATCATCACAATAGGATAAGCCTCGTTTCAGGACTTGTTTTCTACTATCAGTGTGTGTCTTGATAAAGAATGCTAAAGTCAGCGTGAGGTCCATATGTCCAGCGCCACTTTTTGGCTGAAAGAGACTATCAAAGCTGTCTCTCAGTCTTCAGACGAAGGCTCCTGATTCACGTATCCTGTCTCTTATACTGTTGTAAAACAATAATCTATAACTTCAATCACCAGCAGTTCTGTGTTTCTATTGTTCTGTATTCCAATGTCCAGAGTGCTGGTTAACAGATCCACGACAGGACTGCTGACACACTGCATGTTGTATGGTATACAGAGAGACAGGTATCCAATACCCTGTTGTTAAATACAGTACGACTGTATACCCCATTGTATTACAATGAGTACTTTAAGAACGGTGTATTAATGAGATGAAACATGTGGGCATTGTTGTACTCCTATATGCATGCTGCATCTTTCATAGTGACAAAGACTTGGCTGCGTCGTTGGGTTTTGTAGGATTTCTATTTGGGAATATTGGGAATGAGAGGGGAGCTGGAGACGCCATAGCAAAGATACAAAGCTGGTTAAACATCAGCAAAGTATTCCTTTTAGAGTTCCTCCAGTCTTAGTTGGATATTTAAGCAATAGGTCACGACAGGCCGTGGTATATGGTCATTATACGCTTCGCGTCGGGCCGATCCACGCCCCTTAGCTGTGATACAATGACCATATACCACGGCCTCTCGTGACCTATTGCTTTTATAAAACGGTTACAAAGTATGGCAATATGAAAGAAAAATACACACTCCAATTTAAATGTGAAAAGTAACTACAATTCTACCCGTGATATACGCTTATTATATCATGGCTAAGAACCAATCAGATTGCTTGATTTGACTTATCCGTTTTATAATTAACTGTATAAACGCAGTATGATACAATAACTTTTTTTCACATCCTTATTGACAAAATAATTTCATATTCAATAATAGTAATAATAATAATAATACATTTATTTTGGGGGGTGCCTTTCATAACACCCAAGGACACCTTACAGGGCATAGGGGCAATATAGGGAACAATTAAAACAGTGGATTTAGTGAAGGGTCAGCCGGGGTAAGACAAGAATGTATTGTCATCTATTATTCCAATACTTTAACAGATGTTTTAGGTTTTGCCGTGGTATCCTTTCAGTATCGATGTTGAGGTATTCATGAATTGAAGTCATTATTTTGGTATTTGTGACCAGACTTCTTGCAACAGAAAAAATGATGTTAAAATAAAGATTACCCGAATTGAACTGCTTTTGTTTCCGTAGGTAGAAACTGCTGTAGGAGGAGAAAACAATGGGTATGATGGGGACCTGAAAAACAAGAGAAGAAAAGGGATTACACAGACTATACAAATATTATCATCACCTTTTTTGTAGTTATGTTAAATATCTAAAGTAATGTGACTCCTAATCTTTCCCTTCTCCTGAGCCTTCAGCCACTGGAGGAGAATCAAACAGACAGAAGTGCATGAGCTCCATCACGTTCTCTCTCCCTCTCTCAGCACGACACTAGCAGTCTCCGTCTCCTCCACTAATAGAGGCCGAGTTGCTCTCCCGAGGCCCCGAGTGGCCCCTTCCCGGGACTGGCAGAGCCGAACGTGGCTCCCCCTGGGGGCTGTCCTGCTTCCACTCAATCTGGCCGGCTGGGTAGAAATGGAAAAGGCTGCGCGGTAACTCGGCAGAAGCAAACACGCAGAGATAGAAATAGTCTCAGAGCCAACAGGAAGAAACCAAAACACACTCGGTGCGTTCTCCAGACCTCAAATTAAGTTATTCCGCTACCTCTCTCCAACACAAACACACAACAGATCCAGCTCGAGTATCGAAACATGGAAAAACTATTTTTAGGCGGAATAGTTTGAGGATTCATTCATAGTGCAGCTTCTTTTTGTCTATTCCATCTGTTTATAGTCAGTATTTCTGCAAAGTTGCAACATTTCCAATAACCCCAGATCCTTATGAAGTCAAAATATCTTAATAATAGATTATGTTATAATTTCCAAAATTCACAACATGTTTTTTATAATTAAACTATTCTGCTTAAATCCTATTTGTTGGCATTATGGAACTTTATTAACAGGGCAGCAATACATATAACACCAGCATAACAAACATAAATAAATACCAAACTAACTAATTTAATCCAATAAATCACATTATTCACAAATAACTTTATTTAAGGACATTTACATTATTTGTATATGCTGTTAATGACATACTGTTATACTACTGATAATACGGCTCACACTGTGTAAACTTTTTTATATTTGTCAAATGTATTTGCTTGTATTATACTGTACATTTTACTGTACTTAACTTCTGGTTAGATGCTACCTACATTTTGTTGTCTCTGTACTTGTAGTCTGTGCAAATAATGTAAATCTAATCTGATTGACATTATTTACAAGGTGATGTAAACGTGTCATCACATATGACGACAGACATTTGAAGCTCCATGTGTAAACCTGAATTAAGGCTCTGAATGTAAAGGACAGACATTTGGTCCAGCCCTCACTGTTTGTGTAACATAAGCACATGTGAGCCGCGCTGCAGAGCCAATAGAGGCCCTACATACATTGTTAATGTGTTTGCTAATAAGGAGCAGCAGGGGTTTGTTTTTCTAGCCTCTCAGCCTCACTGCATGCACATCTGAATCAAACCGATATTAATCTTTAGCAGCAAGTAACAAGAAGAAATTGGCTCACACAACACACACCACAAGGTTTACGCCTGAGGCACACCTAGTCGCGGTTCCTGGCCAGATGTCATTCAACAATGTTTTTTTAAATTCTTTCCACCTGTCGGACCTGCAGAGTGAGCGCTACGAAACGTGGACTCAAGGACAGAGACCTCCCACCTGCATGCAGGAAGAGAGCAGCTCATAAAAACACCCTGCAGTCATTATATGTCGTCTTTTCTAACTTCAATCATTAGGTGAGAGGAGTCGGGGGCAGATTACGTCACTGCACAGCTGAGAAAAAATTCACAAAAGACAGAAAAAGTAAGGAAGGGCTCAGACAGACAAAACAAGTCTGACCATTTCAACGCATTCCTTGTTTCATTCGATATTGGATATGGTTAAATCAAAATGTGCCGTGCGCCACATAAGGTTGCTAGCTCCCCCATGTGTCTAGAATCAGCACATTGCTCTGTCTTTTAGGAAACAAAACTTGGCAGAAGTGCCCTTGAACACAGCTAGGCGCTTTTTGCTAGCAGGGTTAAGTAAACTAACAGGAAGTCATGACACAGGAAATGGGTACTATAGCTGACACTTTTTTTGTCACTCAGGGGGTGGATTCACAAAAGTGGATTGCGGTTGCTGATGGCATAATGATTGTCGTTCATTTGCGCAACTGTTATCTGCTCAAGGTCTGATGCTAAAATATATGACTACTGATAGTACGTTTTGCAGCTGAGTGCAATTTTTCTTTTTTTGCATTTGATTTTAATTATATATGTGGCAAAGTATAGTGGACATTAGGGCTGTGCGATTATGGCAAAAATCATAATCACGATTATTTGGGTCAATAATTGATATCACGATTATTTTGACGATTATTCATTGACCATTTATTGAACTTTAAAACAAATAATATTTTACCAATAAACAAGATCAACAAATATGTTGGAGCGCACTTCCAAAACCATACTAAACATATATTATTAATATGATAAATAAAAATAAATTAGACCAAAATAAATGAAATCAAACATGTTGCAAACTGTCACAACCTACTGAAAACTCCTTAACATATAGCCAACATGTTGGTAAAACATATTCATTATTCCACTCAGTTAAACGTTGAAGGCTGGCCAACCGTCATGGTCCAGAGGTAACAGGAAATAAATGTTGAACTACAATTTAAGACCAAATAAAAATGTTTAGGCCACCATGGCAAATGCTGGCAGGGCTGCTCATGTCATCTCTTAAAGATGTTTTGCAAGAAACACCAGCCTGTTGACATGGTCTAGTTTCAGAGATGAGCGCAGGCAGGGGACGATATTGCCACCTGTACTGAAGACCCTCAGCCACGCCCCGACACATGGGGTGACGCCGGCCAATCACAAAGCTTTGATGCGTTCAAGTGCATTATTCTGGCACAGGAAGATTATGTTACAGGACATTAACGATAAAACAGAATATTGTTGTTCTATTTTTAGACACATCTCGCGATCGACTGGTTGGGCACCCCTGGGCTAGACCATAGGTCCGTTGTGGTCGCAAAGTAGTCAGCTGAAGCCACATCTCTCTCAACTTCCCCACGGCATTTGTCATATAGTGCAGGCAGCGCAGACCTGCTGAAATAATACCGAGACGGCATCGCGTAACGCTTGTCCAACGTGTTGACAAGTTGCTTAAAGCCCTGGTTGCTAACAGTGCTAACTGGGCACATATCTTTAGCGATGTGAAATGTAATGGAAAAATACTTGCAAATAGTGGAAATAGTTGTACCCTTCTTTTTAACGAGTTGCTGCTCTTGTTCTGACATCTTCGCTCGCGCTGAACCCTCACAACACATGTCACTCCCACGTGGCCGAGTGGGCTTTTAGGGAGGGGCGAAAGCGCACCCAGCTAAATAATCATATTTTGTCAATTATGCTGTTTTCATAATCGTCGCAAGCCATAATCGTAATCGCGATTAAAATACGATTAATTGCACAGCCCTAGTGGACATTTTTATTATATCCTTATATGCTTAAACCAAATGCCTGATTGCAAATTTAGTGGTAGATTTATTCACTCAATAGGAGCGGCTGGGGTGACTGTAAAGGAGAAGTTTTTGTATCACTTCAGAGTAAAGATAACGGTGATGACAGTCATCCATTTCCCACATCAGTCAAAAACAGTTTTCTTTTATCATCTGTCTGCCCAATACATTTACTGGGCAGAGATCTGATTCTCTGGTTCGGCTTAGACCTCATTTTTCCACAAATGAGGGTCTCAAAGTCCGGCAGCCATCTCCTACGATGGTTAAAAACTGGCATTTGATGATAAAGAACTGGTGAATGTGTATCAATGGCTGCTGACATATTCTGATTCTCAGGCGTTGTTGCGTTTGACTGATCAACGTGTTTTTCCACCTGCTGTGTTCATGGAGGCTTCTCATTTGCATTGTACTGCTAACGTTGTTGATGATCCGTGTAAATACTATGAGGAGAGTTTTCTGTTAGAATGTGTGAATGATGAGCTCATGTTTAAAACTATGTATTGGAGTTTGCTGCGCAGCGCTGGTTCTGTTGCACTCACACCCACACAACACAAACTGTGTCAAATCCCAGGGGCGGTCCCACACATTTCACTAGCCAGGGGCCCCACTGATAAAGGGATTTGGGTCCAATCGTTAAAGATTGGGAGTCAGTCACTGATTGGGCACCTACACACACAGAATATGTCATGTACTCTATGTCACGTGACGTGTATAAGATGAAAATGTGCACGAACGTAGCCGTTCTGCGCACATTGCTGTTGGTTGAGGATGATGAGGTTGGTGATGCCATTTTTTTTCCCGCCTTTAGGGTAATTCTCATATCTCTGAGCTTCCTGCCGCGCTTTCAGATGTGCCGTACTCACTCTGGGCAGCTCACAGATATGACGTAGGGTTAATCCGCTCTACGCACTCCAGTGTTTCCTGTCAAAAAGATCAGAGACAAACCTCCTGACGAGTGGAGATTTGTCCAGGATTTACGAGCTGTAAATGCAGCTGTGCATGCACGCTCGTCCCAAATCCTTATCTGATTCTTTCCCAAGTTCCAGCCTCTGCAACATTTTTTACTGTCATAGATCTCTAAAAATGCATTTTTCAGTGTTCCTGTACACAAAGACAGTCAATTTTGGTTCGCATTTGAATATAATGGTAAACCTTACACATTCACACGTTTGTGTCAAGGCTACTGTGAATCTCCTACTGTGTACAACCAAGCATTGTGTACAAGGTTGTACAAGGTTGGCCTGTCTCCAGAACAGTGTGGAGCTGATACCATTTCCTTGTTAAAACACCTCGCAGCCGAGGGCCACAAGGCCAGTTTGTCAAAACTCCAATATGTACAAAGAACAGTTACATTTTTGGGTCATGTCATTTCAGGGGAGGGGAAAACGCTTTCAGATAAGCGTATTGCATCATTGGCTGCTCTGCCAAAACCTGTCACTAAGCGACAGATGATGTAATTCTTGCGAATGTGTTCATAACACACGGCTGTTGTTATGCTTGCTGTGATGTTACATTAGTCCGTTTTCTGCTTGTAATTATGCCGTTACAAGCTTCAAAGTTGTATGTATCATCTGAATTTGCCGAAACAAGTTTAATATTCTGAAAGCCAATACTTTGTTTATTCGAAAACAGATGAAAACAAACTGTCTTTTATACAAAATGGAAGTATTATACAAGTAAAACTACATGTTGCTTTAATCCCATGTAATTGTAGAATGAACACAGTCTTCCTTTGAAGATGTATAAGTCAGGTGTCTTGAGTAGTCAAAATTACCTACAAATCATTGTACACATTTGTAAATATTATTTTCCACTTGTTACCATTGTGAGTCTATTTTATGCAGCTCTGTGTGATTTTGTAGCTAAAATTCAGACTAATACGCTACCAGAGGTGGAATAAGTACTCAGATCTTGTACTTGAGTAAAAGTAGAAGTACCAGAGTGTTACAGTAAAAGTCCTGCATTCAAAATGTTCCTCAAGTAAAAGTAGAAAAGTATTCTCATCAAAATATAGTTACAGTAAAAGTAGTCATTGTGCAGATTGGTCCATTTCAGAATAATATATATGATATGTTTTATAATGATTGATCATGAAAGTGTTCTCAAAGCTGGTGAAGGTGCAGCTAGTTTGAATGACTCTGTATACTGCAGGGTAGCTTGTGGATTTACTCCAGGTGGAACTAAAGTCTGATTTAACACTTGATTAGATTTCACATCATTCATCCACATCTGTGAAGTAACTAAAGGTATTAAATACATGTAGTGAAGGAAAAGTACACCATGTACCTCTGACTTATGTTCACTGCCAACCTAAAAGTACCTCAAAAAATAGTAATCAATGATGTATTGAAAAGTTATTTGGCTGATTGTTTTATATCGGCTCAGCCAGGTTATATGGGATGCCCAGTCTACGTACACTCTAAAAACAAATGCCTTGGCTCAACAAAGAAAATCAAGGCAATCGGTTGCATCGATGGTTTTTGAGTTAAGACAACTTCTAATGAAATTGTGTTAAAGCAACAAAGTTATTTGAGTTAGGGGAAAAGGCTTTTCCTCTACAATCAGAGGTGTTTTTACCACTTACTTAATAATTGGTAGCATAAACACAAGTTTTTAAGTTGATTGCTCCAAAAGTTCCAACTTGTTTTACCGTATGATTTAAATGTAATCTTAAGTTGTATGTACTTAATTACCATCATTGTGAACACATGTTTTTAAGTTGACAACCATTTATAAATTAAGTTGCTCCAAATATATTGTATTCAATAGTTTTTTTCTCTTAGCTTTTTCATGTTGTTGCCTTTAAAGAAAGAAACTAATTGATTCCACAACAAATATATTAGGCAATTCACTTTTTATTTTTGAACTGCAGTTGTTTATTTCAATTCATGATGTTTCAAATCAGGAGAGACTTCATTTAGTTTGAACATTGATTGACACATACAGTATGATAAGGTGCATGAACACCTGAAATCACAGCTGACTGCAGGAGAGAGGAGAACCGTTTTATAGTTTGGCTGCAGCACGTTGATTGGAACCATGCATTTAATTAAGTGGAGGTGAAAGGTCGCCCGAATTCATTTTTAGACGTACAGATCAGTCATTTTGAAATATTAAACTTAGTTTTCTTTTCTTTAATTTTTCATCCTCGTGTAGAAGGCTATCACGAAACACACATTTGGTTGTTTATAGCATAAAGAACATCTGATTTAATGTGAGGTAGGGAAATAATAATTTGAGTATGTGAATATAAATATGTAATTTACAACAGCTGTAAGATGCTTGAAAAGCTTGAAAATGCACCTTGAAAATGCTTGAAAAGTGCTTGAATTTGACTTTGGAAAAGGTGTAAGAACCCTCTTATGCCTTTGCCTGAAGACGGTGACGAACACGACTGTGTTGCCGAACTTCTCTGTGTGCACACCTAGACCGGACTTAAAAGACGTTCCTCTGACCAACGCTGACCTCATTTTGTATGTTGATGGGTCTGCCTTTCGCGACCAAGGGGGCACTAATCGGGTGGATTTTTCTGTTGTTTCAGATTCTGCTGTACTCCGTTCCGGACCACTTCCATGTCACCTCTCAGCACAAGCAGCAGAGCTCATCGCACTAACTGAAGCCTGCACGTTTGCAGAAGGCAAAACCGTGACTATTTACACTGACTCACGCTATGCTTTTGGGGTAGTACACGATTTTGGGGCTATTTGGAAGTGTAGACAATTTCTGAAATCTGATGGCAAACCAGTACTTAACCATGTACTGGTTGCAGGCTTACTAGACGCCATTCTGCTCCCATCTGAGGTTGCAGTCTGTAAATGTGCCGCACACGCAAGCAGTACAGACCCAGTTTCCCTAGGAAATGCGTCTGCTGACTCAGCCGCAAAGGCAGCTGCTCTGATTCCTCTCGCACCTCACGCACGCACACTCATTTGTTAAAATCCCTGTCTCCTCCTTCACTGACAAAATGTCATCACTGACTTCCATGCAGCAGCTAGCTACACCAGTTGAGAAGGCTCAGTGGAAGGCTGTTTTTGACCCAACCTCCAACATCTGGGTTGGTCCAAATTCCAATCCATGTCTCCCAAGACATTTCTTCCCTCATTTTGCTAAGTTGACACATGGGTTGGATCATGTGTCAAAAGGAGATCCTGTGTTCTTGGTTGCATTTGCACCAAGAACACAGTCGGCAAAACAATTGCGGCGAGGAGAAAACGAAATATACAATTTTCAGAAAGCAAGCTACGAGGAGAGGTGCAGAGGCATTCCTCAAGACATCAGGAAATAGTTTCAACGTCACAGATGAAAAACCTCTTTTTTTTGTCAGTGTTTTCCTATAGACACATCAATTACTGTAAGGTAATAATCCTTTTTATTTAAGGATCATTTTTCAAGCAAGAGAGTTTTCCTGGGCAAGGAAATTCAAAACAAAATTGCAAGAGGACCATCACTTGAATTAAAAGAATATTTGCAGAAGAAAGTCTGGGCCTAACCCTTCTTATAAATATGCCTCAGGTACCACCAACTCTCTGAAGAATGAAGATAGAGGCCATGCAGTCCCTTTGTGAATGTGGCCCTGAGTAAACATACACAACACCATTTCAGGAGACAAGAGGAAAAGGGCTCACTTGTGCCTGCACTGCCAGGTGGAAAGCTCCTTTTTTGAAGGGCAGCAGGTTGCCTGTCTGGTTTCTCGTTCCCTCTGGAAACACCCACAGACGAATCTGTAGAGGGAAAAGCACAAAAGTGTCAATTCAATCATAACAATGACAAATTATTTGCAGAAGGAAAATCTAAGAAAACGACACATAAATAACGGTCGAATTAATTTTACATAAAAGCATCTCCTTTTTTTTTTGGGATGTAAAGGCTTACTTTAACTCAGATAAACAGATCTCCCTTTAACACTGATTTCAGGGTGTTCTGGTGTGACATCATCCACATTACCTTGTCGTCCAACATGGTTTTGGAAGCGTCAATCATCACATTCTTGGCATCGTTTGGCTTCTTGCGGTTGATGAAGACGATGCCTCCCAGCCAGCAGATGAGACCCACGGTGCCGGCGTAGATCAACTCCTTCTTGGCGATCATGGTGCAGCGGTCCGGCAAGATCTCCATCAGACCTGAGGAACAGAGCATAACAGAGGAAACAGTCAGAGGAAATGCATGTATAAAGGGCATTTTTTTCCAACAAATAACTAATGTCAAGTACTTCATAACTTTAGTTAATTATCTCCAAGTCATATCTGAAAAACTGCATCCTAAATGAATGAGTAAGCTTAGTTTTATAGCATAGGAGTTCGAAATAGGAGCAAAGGCAAATCATTTAGGTGTTTAAGCAACATATTTACAACGAGGGGCATGTACGTACTTTAAAAAGATGGTCTAATAAAAATCTAACGCCACCATAAATGACATTAATTTAGCGACAATTCAAGTATTTGCAAGATGATGTAAATTAGTCATATTTCAAAGGTTGAAGACATCATAAAATATGAAGATTTGAAAATATATTTGAAAACCTCAATAGAAGCTACTAAAGAAAAAATGACTAAAGCCATAACTATTTGTATAAATGCTTAGAAATGTAAACAAATTACTAGACTTAATTAAAAGGTCCCATGTCATGGCCATTTCTACCGATCATAATTCCATTGTTGAGGTCTACTAGAATAGATTTACATTGTTCAATGTTCCAAAATCACATTGGTTTCTCATACAGCATCTCTGTATAGTATGTGTATTCACTCTGTCCTAAACGGCTTGATGGAGCTCCTGCCCCCACCCCCCCTCCCTGTGAGCTCACTGTGCTCTGATTGGTCAGCTCGCCCACTCTGTTCTGATGAGTCAATCACCGTTACAGCGGAACATCAGTGATTATGTGTTACAATGGCGTTAGTAACCAGAAAATGACACCAGTAATGAGAATGCTGCGTGGGGTCTGGGTGCCGTGTTGGCGGGACGTTGCAGGGCTCGCTGGTCCGCCCTGTGGGGCTCGAGGAGCGGACAGTGTAAGGTGGATTACTGGGTTGCGGTCGAATAGTCCAAAAATCAGCTCCTATCGTCTATTCCTTGACCTCTGTGTGAAACGTCACGGGGTTAAGGAATAGTGGATAGGAGAATTCAAAAGGACTTAGGGGAAGAGACAGCGGTGCTTTGAGAATCCGACTGCACTTTCACAATCAATCAATCAATCAATCAATGTTTATTTATATAGCCCAATATCACAAATGTTACAACAATCCGACGTATTTATGATGCGCCAGCGGACGTCATGAATGTGCGTCTGCTGCTGTGGGGGAACTACAGTTTTCTATAGCGGACTACAACATGGATGTACAATAAGAACAACGGACTACTGTAAACTCATCTAGAGACTCTGCACCGTGCTCTGATGCTGTTGTTTTATGAACGTGGACAACAGAGAAACATATTCTTCATGAATGAGGTTGGAATTGAAATAAAAAAGGAAGTGAAACTTATGCTCGTTACCCTCTCCCTCCGGTCCACAAATGATCCCAATACGTATTATTGTATGAAAATTATGAAATGCCCCACCAGAGAGGGGAATATATTGGATCACTGTTACACCACCATCAAGGGAGCCTATCACGCCATCCCCCGCGCTGCATTGGGCCACTCTGACCACACCATGGTTCACCTGATTCTTGCATACAGGCAAAAACTCAAGCTGTGTAAGCCTGTAGTGAAGTCATTCAGACAGTGGAGCAGTAAAGCTATGGAGGAACTTCAGGCGTGTTTGGACTGTACTGACTGGGATATGTTTAGGACTGCAACGCAAAGTCTGGATGAATGTGCAGAGGCTGTGACGTCATACATCAGCTTCTGCAAAGACAGAAGCAACTATATTTGTCTGTTGATGTTGGAAATGGATCTGATGTGACGCAAGTCAAATTTCAGACTTGATCTGACAAATAAAGTAATATCGTATCGTATCATACCAACACGCACCATCATCATACAATCAATGTTTATTTATATAGCCCAATATCACAAATGTTACATTTGTCTCAGTGGACTTCACAGTTTGCACAGAATATCAGTAGTATAATAATAGTAGTAGTAGAGCCAGTGTAAGGCAGCCAGAACAGGAGTAATGTGGTCCCTTTTCCTAACTCTGGTTAGTACACGAGCTGCAGCATTTTGAATCAGCTGAAGCGACTTGACTGACTTCTTGGTACACCCTGATAATAAGGAGTTATAATAATCCAGCCTTGAAGTAACAAATGCATGGACTAGTTTCTCTGCATCGTTTTGAGGCAAGATATGCCAGATTTTTGCAATGTTACTGTTAACATACAGGTAAATGTGTTACCAATTCGTGTTATTTGTTGTGCATGACCGGAAGCCAATAGCGTAACAGGTTAAAGGTCATGATGGGTATAAATAAAGCCACGCCTCCAATGGGAGAGCCCGTTGAATGAAATGCCACTGTCTCTGATGTTTCGTTATTCCTCCGCTTATTTGGATGCTAAACAGCAATGAAGTTATGCTTACTCGGCAAACAGTTACATAGATGGAAGTAGGCGGTCCTTGAAATTGATTTTATGTGGGGGTTAAAGGATAAATCCTGATAAAATATAACACCAGATTCCTTACAGTCTCACTGGAGACCAAATTAATGCCATCCATAGTTAGTATATCTTTAGATAATTTGTTTCGTAGATTCTTCGGGCCAAGTACAATAACTTCAGTTTTGGTCGTGTTTAACATCAAAAAGTTTAAGGTTATCCACGTTTTTAAGTCCTTGAGGCAGTCTTGAATTTTATTTAGATGATTAATTTCATCAGGCTTGATTGATAAATATAGTTGAGTATCATCCGCATAACAATGAAAATGTACAGAATGATTCCTTATAATATTGCCTAACGGAAGCATATATAATGTGAACAAAATAGGTCCGAGCACTGAGCCCTGTGGCACTCCATGGCTAACTTTGGTTTGCGTGGAAGATTCATCGTTGACACGTACAAACTGAGAGCGTTCAGATAGATAGGACCTAAACCAGCCTAAAGCAGTTCCCTGTATGCCAACTAAGTGCTCTAGTCTTTGCAATAAGATATCATGGTCGATAGTATCAAATGCAGCACTGAGATCGAGCAAAACAAGAATAGAGACAAGTCCCTTGTCTGAGGCTATTAGAATGTCATTTGTGACTTTAACCAGAGCTGTCTCTGTGCTATGATGTGTTCTAAAGCCAGACTGAAAATCTTCAAATAAATCATTGTTTTTTAAGTAATCACACAACTGTTTTGCGACTGCTTTCTCAATAATTTTTGAGAGGAATGGAAGATTAGAAATAGGTCTATAGTTGGCCAAAACCTCTGGATCGAGGTTGTGCTTTTTAAGAAGCGGTTTTATCACTGCTACTTTGAATGATTGTGGAACATAGCCTGATAATAAAGACATATTCATAATATTTAATAAAGAAGTGCTAATTAATGGAAAAACTTCCTTCAACAGCTTAGTTGGAATTGGGTCTAAGATACACGTTGATGGTTTAGAAGAGAGAATCATTGAATTTAATTGTTCAAGGTTTATGGCTGAAAAGCATTCTAGTTTACTATCTAGTGTAATATTAGAACTTACGTTTCCGGGAGCTGTTGATAACACTATACTGGTCAAAGGCAAGAGGTCATTAATTTTGTTTCTAAGAGTAACAATTTTATCGTTAAAAAAGCACATAAAATCATTGCTACTGAGTGCTATGGGAATAGAAGGCTCAATCGAGCTGTGGCTTTCTGTCAGCCTGGCTACAGTGCTGAAAATAAATCTTGCATTATTCTTATTCTCATTTATTAATGAAGAGTAGTAAGCTGCTCTCGCTTTACGCAGTGCTTTCTTATATTCATTGAGAGTAATATGCCAAATTAAACGAGATTCAAGTTTAGTGGAACGCCATATCCTTTCAAGTTGTCTCGACTTTTGCGGGTTTCGGCATTATGCCATGGAGCTAATCTATGTTGTTTTATTTTCTTCTTTTTCAAAGGAGCAACAGAGTCTAATTTTATTCGCAGCGCATCTGTAGCACTATCAACAACATGATCAATTTGGGGTGGTGTACATTTTGTATAAGTTTCCTCCCTTACATGCAATCAAGTTAAGTATTGGTGGAATCTCTTCCTTAAATTTGGCTATAGCACTAACAGATAGGTTTCTGCTGCAGGAGGTTTTGACTAATGCTTTGTAGTCTAGTAACAGTACTTCAAAAGTTACTAAGAAATGGTCGGATAAAGCAGGATTATGCGGTTCGAGTAATAGTTGCTCAATTTCAATACCATAAGTCAGAACAAGGTCGAGAGTGTGATTATAGCAGTGGGTTGGTTTATTTACACTCCGACAGAAACCAACAGAATCTAATATAGAGTTAAATGCAACAGTAAGGCTATTTTTATCATCGTCAACATGAATATTAAAATCACCTACGATAATTACGTTATCTGTTTTAAGTGATACCAAAGTTGATAAAAACTCAGAGAATTCTGAGAATAATTCTGAATAAGGACCTGGTGCACGGTACACTGTAACAAATAATATTCGCTGCAAAGTTTTCCAGGTTGGATGCGTAAGACTAAAAATGAGACTTTCAAAGGAGGTATAATTTAATTTTGGTTTAGTATTGATAAGTAAACTTGAGTCAAAGATTGCTGCAACTCCACCTCCTCGGCCTGTGCCTCGTGCAATATGAGTATTCAGTGCATGACATTAAGGATTTTGGGAGATGGCCCTGTGGGCCGTCTAAGCTAATTTACAGATGGCCCTGAGCCCAATGGAGATTGCCCTGAAAAATGCACGCGGACGAAATGACGCACAAAGGGTTAGGGGGGCCTCCCCCTAGAACATTTAGATTGTTGCAGGTCTTAGATGCTGTCTGGTTCTCTAGACTGAATTACAAGATGAACCACCACAATATTATATTGTACCATTTCAATTTTCTTCTTCATTTCACTTGTTTGTTTGTTCTTGTTTGTGTTTGCATGCCCTGCATAGCTATAAGAAATACTTAAGTTGTTGGTCAAGACACTTTCCATCTGATGAAGGCCTTCCCAGAAAGTAGAAAACATTACATTCAGTTATAACTGCCAAAACAAACATTATTTAC